CTTTGGTCGCGGTTGGGTAGCAAGTAAGAAATTGCTCGAGAACAGAGAACGTTGAGCGATCAGAACGACATGGCCCGAGGCGTGATAAAGAGGACGCAAGAATTAGGCTCGAATTTCATAGGGTACAGGACAGAATAGGCTGTCGAAGCACTTAATAACGACACAATATATTTAATTGGAGGCGATGCAACGCGGGGTTGAGAGGTAGAGTTAGCGTCGATCACGTTCCAGGGGAAACTTCCTTAATCCCTACCTGGCCTTTATTGACGTCCGGGATAATTGGGTGACGTAATTCACGTGGGGCGCTTAATATGCCATAATCACCTCGCTCTGTATAATGGCTGTGATGCTCTGACGGATCGGCCCGTTTAACCACCGCCAGTTATAGCCCCCGTTGTGTTCGTCCAACGGAACAGTCCGTCTCTCTTGTCCGATGGGCGTATTCGCCTTCGACACTCTTACTGGTTCAGCTTAAACGTTTCGATGTTAATAGACGTTCTTCCGTAATTCTAGCTGATTACCTTCTCCAACGACGGAATCGTTGCTTCCCCGAGCGAACAGAATTTTATAGTCTCGGATAATTGAATTGATTCTTTCGCTGAAATACTTTACATCGGTGTTTTATCTCTCGGTATGGCGGATGGTACGTGTCCAATAAAACGAACGAATGCCATGGATCGTTTTGATTAACGGTAAAAATTTCATTACACTCAGTTCAACCAATGAAATTATGGAATTACTGCTTAATAGATACACTACCGGACAAAAATAGGAGACCAAGTCTGATAACTAATAAAAGAGTAAAATATTATTCTACACAGATTTGCAGAAATGATATGTTGAAACTGATTGAAAATAATTACTGTTCATAATTTAATTTTGAACGTTTACCGTTTTCAATATAAAGTAATAAATCCGTATAAATAATAGAATTATAAAACACAAATCCAACATTTATAAGTATTCAGTATTATGCAGATTTATCGTCCCCATTCGTGAGGGTTAACAGGACGATTTTTGAAACCGTGAAGGGGATCGAATTCCATGTAGTCCTTTGCAAATATTCACCATTGCACACCGCCGTTGAAATTGCACCCACTTACACGAAGCATTAGGCACACGGGCCAATACGAAGGCGCGCACTTCCTTATCAGTCGCGGTCCAATTGCAGTTTCTCGTAGCGTTATCAGCTGTCCGAAACTGGCCCGAGGAAAGAATATTATCGGCGAAGTACATCCTCAAACGTATTCAGCGCACGTTGCCACGGTTTAACTGGCTATGCTTCCACCACCTCACGTAATCCACGACGAACTTTCCCATGCAAATCCGAGGCAGCCACGCGGGAACCCGAATGAGACGCTCCGAAAAGGAAATAAGGTGTGTCGGCTCGCATCGATATCGCCTGCACATGATTTACAAGCGATTCAACCGGAATTTATTCGCCGGCGACATCTAATACCCTTCGTTTATGACGTTGCCTTACGATATTTACAATAAATCGCGGTATTTTCATTCTATCGAAGGGAGCTACGAACTTCAATGCTTCGTAAAACGCGCAGAAAAATTGAAAAACAATTGAGAGGGTTCGTAAGAAAAACGAACCCTTGTCAGTATTTATTTTTTTTTTCAGAAAAGTAAAGAAATACTCTGGCATCTTTACGAATCTTCAGGATCGATCAATTTTCCTTTCAGAGTAAATTAGGATATAGGTCAGTTTTGATAGCGTAGGTTTCACCATATTTGGAGTATTGCAGTAGAATTTCGCTAAACGATCAAAACTCGGGACTTTATGTGAGTATTTACAAACGACTTACACGATTTTTGTTTCCTATAAATATCGATGCCAATCGAAATTCGATCCCCGAGTTCAATCCTTTAAGGAAGATTCGCCTAGTATTAGAGATGACAAGCGAGCATTTAACCTTGAGCTCTCTGCGAGTAGTTACCGAGAATTTACTGTACCAGCTCTGTTGTTATCACTAACTGCCGATGTTTATGCATTTATAGTGTGTCTTACCTTGCAAACTGCAATAAGATAAAAATTTTAATAAATCGCGATACTATTCACGTTATTATTAACGTAGTAAAAATTCCAGTACAGAATTCAAAATTCTGCTCCATTTGAATTTTTAGATATCGGAACTTGTGATTTTGCATAAACTTCCGCAGGCTAGTTATCACAAGAACCGAAATATTCAACAAGCGGTTGTTTTTGTTACGAGCCCCTCAATTTTCTCGATATTTGTCGTTTGTCCCTGGGCCAATTTTCCGTTGTTCCTGCCTCAAATACCAAGTGGAAAAACGATTCTGGTAAGTTTCACTCTGCACTTTGGAGTTGAAAATTAAACCAATCGCAAAGATTCCACCTACCAAAGTCACGTGTCCGTATAGAGGATGTCGGTCATGTTTACTCTTCCAGGATCCCATGACAGACGGAATCTGTTCAGGGGTGCTTTCGGTGTACGGCGAGCGATTCCATAAAACTTTACGAGCTCGTGAACGGTCGCGTCTGCCACGGTCCTATCGTCTCCAAAACTCGGCCGAGGACCAACGATCACCGCGGCATACTATTTTCGTGCATCTGAAGAAGATTCGGTGTACACGCTTCGAGACTCGTCGACCCTGACTCAATTTCGAACACGACCCATCTGCCCTGGTTTGCTCAATCCGCCGGCGCGTTTCGAGGCTTGCAGACCGGCTGAAAAGAAACGGGCGAGTGCTTCTCGAACGATGTAGGTACGCGTGCATCGTTTCCCCTCGTGTTCCCCTTTTATCCGTTCCAGTCAATCAGGGGAACCAAGGGATCTCGCGGTTACTTCGAGTCGCGCAATTCGATACGAATCGAAGAAAAGAAGCAGACCTCTATGGGAAACGATTGCTGCGATTGTTTCGAGAAATAGAAGCCGTTTTTGTACAGTCTGAATGTGGGTTCATTGGAAATACAGTAAATCATGGATGAGTGTCCGAAGGCTCCTCGGCACTGAACATTAAATATTTCATAAACTAATGGCTATATGCAACCGAAAAAAATATCATTGGCTTCAGAATTTCAAGTTCTGTCACTGTGCTAAACCTCATTAAAAAGTCGGTGTTCTACCTGGGGACCTCTTCTTGTCAGCGCTGAGGAGCCTTCGAGCACTTATCGATGATTTACTGTACAGGATATCCCGTAAATAGCAGTTAAACGACAAGAAAACAAGTTCGGAATAAACTTCTCGAACACCCGAGCATCGTGCTCGAGAAAACTGTGATTGGATACTGGCTGAGTGCACAAGCACCGAATTTCAATTTCAGACGCTCGAGGGGTCCCACGAGGGAACCTGCGATCAGCGTGGATGGTGTCGTGAAGCGTTCCTTTCGCTCTTCGCGATACCTCTCGAACGTTCAGAAACCGCTTGAACGCGTACCCGTATAATATTCAAACTGACTCCGGAAAATGAAAGTCCTCTACAGAAGAAATTGCCCTCTGGGTCTTGAATTCTTCACGATTCTCGATCGATTCTCCGTCCGAATTTTGCTATTCGTTATTAAACTATCTCGTTTGCACAGCCACCATTTGCATTAAAGGGTGCATAGCCGTATGATTTATTACTTCACCGGTTTTCGTTGATGTTTCATGCAATTATCCCCGCCGGAAGTCTCGAGCGCACCGGAGGAGGAGTTCTCTATTCGCGGAATACGAGGAGCTGGAGGGTTTGTTTGCTCGCTACGGGTCGTGATGTATTTTCTTTTACGAACAATCGACACAGAAAGATACATTGGGCCCGTCGTTATTAATTCTCGTTCGGTCGTGGCTCGTTTGTTAAAAATCCACTGGTTTGAAAAACCGAAAATCGCGCGTTTCTTTCGCGGCAGGATCGACGGGGGCAACGAAGCGTTGCACCAACGACTATCCGTGAGGATTTACAGATCGATCCTCGTCGGAACCGCGGTGAGACCGTCGTGGTTGTATCAATCACTCGATTCTCCCCGTTCTCGAAGTTTCGCCAGCGCCCCCGGCCGGAAAGTTGCGACGAACTTATACATATGAAACGAGCGGAATATCAAGCGGCAACTCCGACGTGCCGCACCCTCGGCGTCGAGTTAATTCCGCGAGTTAAAGAGATAAGCGAAAATTCGCTTCCATAATGAATTTACCTGCCGCGATATAATACGCCATTTTCTTAAGTCACACCCCCTTTCTACGCGCCCTACCCCGAATACGATTATTCTTCGGAATCTTTAGAATTACGGTGGGACCGTGCTTTGTTTTCGCTTAGGGAGATTCTCGTAACTTCGAACGAGGAGGAGATCGATAGAAAGTTTGTAAAATTAATGTGGGAAGTTTTTGTGCAATTTTCTTTGGTGTTATATTGTAGTCACTGCGTAGACGCAGTTTCATGCAAATGCAGGTTTTTTGTGGTATTTTATGAGAAGGAAAACTTAAAGAGAAGGTTGTTTCTTCGTTTGAAAGCTTTGAAGGGTTAAGTGTATTGTGGGAATCTTGAACAGTTAATAAGATTAAACACTTGTTCGTCGAGTGTCTACTCCTTCACGAAGAAATATTACTTTATCATAAAAATTGGAACTTCGACGTTTCATCCATTTAACACGAAAGTAATGTTTTTCTTTATCTTTCATTCGTTATTCGAAACTGTTTACCTAGATAATGAATTCGCCCATCACCGCGTACGTGCGATAACAGCATAAACTTCGCAATCTAATAATTCCAAAGAAATCCTTCAAATACCTCAATTTTCCTTAAGTATCCTTGTATAAATGCACACACGGAAGGAGAAGAATACCAGATGAAACTTTTCTCTGACCACTATATCGCCCGAAGCAATGTGAATCGAATGGATTTCCGTTCAAACCCCGTGGATCTCCCGTTCGAACTCTTTACCTCGTCCTCTCCGTAAGTACATACGGCTGAAACGAGCATTCCCCGTTAAAGCCAGGCGGACGGGGATATTTTCCCGGAAGTTTCGTCGTAAACGCGTGGGAAAAGAAAGTTCGCTTACCTTCCAGCACACGGACGCATTCGGTTAGGTTCGGATAGTTGTCCGGATAGTTCGGACTGTAAAATTCCTGCTTGACCTCGTCTCCGCTGCTGAACTTCTCGCACACGTCCGGAACGTGTCTCATCTGCCGACGGACCACGTCGCTGCTGAGAAACGACGTCGGTGTCGTCGTGACGTCGATGGGATCCCTCGACGAGATCGAACCGTGTGCCAGCCGGTTCTTGCGCGACGTCATTGTCTGCATATAGTTAAAAAGGCCACGTGATAATTCAGACCAAGAATCGACATAGTATCATTTTTTATTTACGATTTTTGTCCGCGATTGGTAGGTGATTTTCAAGCATTTCCTCATCCCCTATGAAATAACTGGTATCGTATCGTTCGAAAGCCGACATCCCCCGGTATTAACTCGAGTCCAGTTAGATTGAAAATTTATACGATCGATGAGCAATAATCCTCCGATACACAGGTGTCAGGTCGTTAATTAAATGAGAGCCCAACGATGGTTCGGGCAACTGGTGTCGTGATACTGTTAAATTAATAGCTATCGTCCACCTACGAAATTATTGGGCACACGGAGAATCTGTTGCGACTATTATCGCGTTATTGCGCGGGCTTTTGGGTGAATCACGTGGTTCGTGTTTCTTTCGCGATTACCGGTTGGATCTCTGGTAAGGCGTTTGGGAATCTGCTGATCCCTTGGTTATTGGTTTTCAATGAACCCGTTACAATAATGTCAAGGAAGCTTACTGTGTTCTTTTGTTATAAGCTGATTATTGGAAAAAGTAACTGTAAGCTTGTAGTTGTGAAATTGTATGTAACGTTTTAGTGTGTACAGGGTTGTCATTGTTACATTCGCCACGATTTTTCGAGCGCTTCTGGCTATCTGGTAAAAAGATTTCGTGAACAAAAGTTATTCTATACTCAATTAGCAACAAATTGCAATATTAAAAATTATCAAAAAACTTCTTATTTGGTAGAAACTCACGGTCACCTTCACTTTTTAAAATGGTACCTTATAATTATTGTAGTGAAATTATGTACAGGTGGACCCGAGTTTCAAACTCTCATAGAGTCTTTACTGTACATCCACGATCAACCGTGCACAAGACCGTTCAGCAAGTACGATGCCAGACTTTGAATGACAGCCGAGACACGGGTAACAGGAAACCGAGGGGTATGAGACTTACGTTGTCAAAACTTTTCGACGATAGGTGCTCCCTTTCGTATCTCGGTCGTTCTGTAGTTGATTGGATAAACGTCCGACCAGCGGATAGATTTATCCTCTGTCTGATGTCAGCCATGGTCCTCGAGGGCACGCTCGAATTTTCACGCGAGATTTTCACTTTTCCCCTGTCGGTCTCCGTCCCGGGCGTCTCGATTTCCGTCCCCTGCGGGGTGATCAACCCTAGCAGCAGCTCGGGCGCAGCCCGTTCCACCGAACTCGTGGTCTCCGTTCGTCGGGAAGTTGCCCGACGAAACTTTCCAACCGATCCGCTCTCTGTCGCGGCGCGGTCCGTGCTGGACGACGACCATGGAGAGGATCGACTGTACCTCCTCGTGTCGTACGTAGCCCAGAGTGACTGCTCCGTCTCGCGTGTGGCTTCCGCGGCCGACCCAGTGACTGAAACATTAAGGATCAAATGCCCTCCGTTACTAGGTGCTTCGGAAAATTCGATTCCACTGAAAGGAGAGTTCTTTGGTTGGAAGTACAATTTCTGTTGGAAGTATTGGACATGGAGGAATTTATTTAGAGAATAAGTTTATGATTTAGATAACGTGGCTTTGGAAAGTACCAGCTAACAGCTGCTTGAACAATAATTGTGTTATTGAATCGAAGCTGTAAATGGTCGAGTGCCTTTTATTGTTGGCTGCTTCGTCGATTTGTGCAGCACGTGCCGGTCGTTAGAAATATTTACGAGTCTTCTTCTAGGGCATACAGTGGGTGGGTTGTCATTCCCTATTTTTAAATTTTCATATCTGTTGAAGTAGCATAGGTATTGGAATGTATTGTATATGTATGTTGTTCTATTGTATCGTGACTTCCATTACATATTCTGTTTTCAGTGTTTCAGATCTCCGTGAAAATCCATAGAAATGGCCGCTGTACTGGCAATTGAGGGAACGGATAAAATTGCCGCAAGATACGAGGTGTGACAGGTGACAGGTTTGTTGTTCATCGACTATTTCTATGGAATTTCACAGGGATTTGCAACACGGGAAACAGCATAAGTAATTGTATTCAAGGCTTAATAAAACACAACATGAAAAAATAGTTCCTACAAATTATTTACAATTCATACAGATTTTTAAATATTCTATAATTTACCGAAACTACCCAACAAGCTCGGTTAATCAATTCTTTGATATAAAAAACTGTTTGATAAAATTCTAATGAACGATGTTCTCTGACTCGAACCGAGTATGTATTTTCGATGAAAGCACGAAACACAAGGGAACACAATGCTTGATAAATCATCGTTAAACTGCGGATTGTATGCATTTATTGTAAATATGAGTGTCGAAAAAATAGTAGAGAAAAAATTTTCGGAAAGATTATTATGCAGGTTATTCTACTCTGGACCCCAAAAATACCTTTAATAAGAAACACAAATCTCCGACATAATGTCAGTTCTGTAAATTGGTCTATGCAAATTTGAAATTGCATAAAGTTTTGCAGTCTAGTCATTACAGTAAATGTTCGAAGAATTCAAAGGCGTTCAAAAGGCCATATTTTATCAAATCGAGAAACCACACAGCAATGAGTCTGCGTTCTGGATGAATCCATTTTCGGTTTGTTTCGCGGTTATCGCACTTACAACTCGTATTTGTTCGCCAATTAAACCGGCTCCGCGTTGAAAGTTTCAACGTTAATGGACAGGATCGATCCACGCGGCGCGACTGGCGTGTTTGAATAGGATTTATGCGGCCGATTGACCGATTTTACAGTGGCTGGTAACGAAACGAGACGCACATCGGAAAAAAACTGTTACATCGAAAAAACAAAATTGCTACATCGAGGATTTCGCATGCCGATAGGATTTAATCCCGTTCGAATTAATTTCTTGGCAATCGGAAAATATTTCGCGGCTGTAATGGTCGCCTTCTTTCCCCTTGTTAACGCATGTCTGTCCGCGCGTTGACTGTAATCCCTTGGAAATTGCATCGGCGAGTAGCCGTGATCGATAAGCTGCTTCCAGGATCATTTGGAAGGAGATCGGACCCGAAAGTAATCGTTGGAAAATAGTTTAACTCTTTGACTTCAGCGCACTTTAAGACACCAGTTAACGAAACACTATTGAAACTGTATATTATATCAGTTTAGTATAACGGTAAATGTGTTGTACAGTGATTCCCTCGATGAATGCGACACGAGCAACGGTATTATTCTCACCATTGGGTGGGATCCCCCTCTGGAATCAATAAAAACAGAGTAAACAGAAGCTACGTAGAGGCTTCGGATAAAAAACAAATTTATAGGGTGCTGAAAACCTTTCCATCCATGAATGCTCGGAATCGGACCCGAGTACGTCCCACTCATCGAGACATTATTGTACTGAGTAAAATTTTGGTGCATATTTAATGGAGGTATTAATTCAATTAGTGAAATATGCGACCCATTCACTTTACTCCACTGTTTTTTAACGACCATTAGCAACAATTCGAGATTGACGCAAACGAAATCAGATGTAAAGTCATGAATAACTTTGTCGTGCGTTTGCGTGTTCCATTTCCGCGGGAAGGAAACAGAGACAGTGTCGAAGCTAGCCATCGAATTCGCGAAACAACTCGGATTTTCCGATGCTTGAGTACGTTCGAAGACGAAAGAGCTTTAAAAATGTTCCTTCCACTGGAGAATTCCAGAATGCTTTTTCATCTCTGCGATGGACGTATGTAGTTCATTCCCCGACAGTCCACTAATTTACATCGCTTTTTCTCGTACGGAATGGCGCACGAATCGAGTCACGATGCCCGCTTAACCCAGCTCCCGTCGCTGCTTAATCATCTCCGGTGGTTCCCTCGAATTTCATTAGGGAAAATTAGCGCGGAGTGACCCGACCATTCTCGCCCCGGGCTTTCTCGGTCGTTTTGATCTTTTTTCAGCCAGATAAATGCAGCTTCCTTTTGCGCGAGATTACGTTTATTTTATTCTTTGCGTGGACAGTCGTCGTCGAAGGGAAACTCGAAATAAAAGTAGGATATCCTTACATTCAATTTATTCCTTTCTTTCAGCCATCGAGGGGGGAACACGATACTCCTCTGACTTTTCCCCCGCCGTTCCATCGAAGGAAAATATGCATCGGTACAAAGCTGCCTCGGAGTATCGTTGTCTAGCGATACATTTACTTTCAGCGATGTTTTGGAACACGGATTGCATATCTTTCCCGGTTGCAATATGCTCACCCTTCGTACCTTATACGTTCGACAAGTCTCGTAAGTGATTTTCTCTGCGATGTTTCCTCGGTGTACACTGGAGGCAGCCAGCTCGGGGAATAGTCTACCGGGAGTATCAGTTGGCAGTTTTCGTAAACATTCAAGCCATATTCGCATCGTTTAAAATCCGCGTAGTTCTCGTGTCGCGTGTAATTCCATTGGAGAGGATCGTTCCCGAAGAAACAGATATCGTAGATACTGTAATACGATAATTTCGTATCCTCGACAGAGAGAGTACAATTGCTTAGATCCAGAACTTGGAAATACATTCACGGGTTCATATTATTATATCTTATATATCTGCCACCAAGTTATTTTATTATACTCTGTATTCATTAAATAATTACGATTTGAAGAGAAATTTTAAGTATAACATGATCGACATGCAGACTCTGAAAAACATTTCGTTACATTTCAAGGCAGACACCTTATTTCCAAAGGTTATATACTTTTGCAACTCTGAGACTGTTTTATTCTGAATGACTAGTGATTGCAAGATTGAATAAGAAATGTGCTTTTTACACAAAGATTTACGAGTGGTTATTTGCTCTCCATGACCTTCTGGGTTTTTTATTGCACACGCGAAATTTCACGCTTAAATCTCTCCGAAACGAAGGGGTTTATATAATTACATATTGTGCGGCCTGCGTGAATTCTACTTGTCCGACAAATAGCCCGTGATTGAAACGAGTGTGACAGCAATGAAATATAATCTTGACTACCAGTCCATAAAGTTCGCCCAAAAGCGTTCATATAAAATCGCGCGAATTGAAATCCGAGCAGAAGCTTTTGCGTTCTAAACGTCGCCCTCGGGGAGCATCGAATCGTATCAGGGGTCTGGTACGGAATTTACCACGCTGTCCATCCTCCAGAGTGCTCCGTCCTCAAATTTCGAGGCATGACAGCATCTCGCTACGGGGTAACCGGAAGTCCTTGGGGCTTAACGTTTCCGAGGTTGGAATGTCTAAGGTCGAAAGCTACGGCGGAGATGTATATCCGCGTCTCCTCCTTCCTACGGTCGAGTAAATCTGATCCTCGCCGCGTGCAAGACACCCCCTTCTCCTCCTTCACCCTTTGCATCATCCCTCAGCTTCCGTGTTCAACGCCTCGGTGCCAGAGATTCCTGCCCGGTACCAACGGCAACCACGGCGAAGAAGAACGTGGCCGCATTATCCTTCTTTTTCCGAGGCGGCAAGATTTTGCCCCCGTTGTTTACGGCTCTGTTTCTTTTTCCCACGAAACCGACATCCTTCTTCGCGCAGGGGTTGCTGATCCGGCACTCGTTCGTACATACATTTCACATTTTTCACCGGCGTGTAATTTTCTCGCGATGCTTCCTTTCGTTGCCCCCACCCGCAACGATCGCCTTTCCCTCCCGCCCCCCCTTTCAAGCATGGAAGAATTTATCGTCCTTATAAATCGTTCAGACCGCGTGGAAACCATGAGCCATCCAAGCTCGTCGAACGATCGACACGGAAAAGATCGTCATAGAGGTATTAACCTCGAAAGAATCCACCAGAAGAGGATTCGATCGCCAACTAATCCGATATCGCGACACTGAGGGTCGATGGAATTATCTAGATCCTCGTGCAACGTATACTCGAGCATTCGATCCTTGTTTTCTGAACTAACGAAACGGGTTTTCGTTTCTCGGTCGAACCGTTCCACTCGTCCGTTGACTTTAAAACAACGGTGGAAGGATGCGAGCGAGAGAGCCACGGCGAAGTAGCGCGATAATTCGAATGTACAAATTGCCAGTCGAGTTTAACTATTTATATTACCTGCTCTGATGCCAACGCGCACCGCGCACCGAGCCGTGGGTATTACCTTCTATTTATAATTTCCCACGGGATAGCACTTTGCGGAACAAGTCCAGCACCGTCGGCGGTTTCTTTCCCCTTTTGCGTCGTTTAATTTACCAGCAATTCATTTTCCCGCGGCTAGGCTCCCGCACGCACGCGGAGTACGTTCGCTCGTTTCGTTCTATTAATTAGCGGCGCACGGTCTTTAACCCAATTAACGACTGCCATCCGCGTTTAATGTAACCTACGTACGTCGAATGGGGAACGGTGGCAGAAGGTCTGAGCACAGAGAACGGTGGAAAATCGCTGGAATTCGGTGTTATTTCCCCTGCTGTCCTCCCCCGGTTGTTTTATGCGAAATAAATCGCGAGCTCCTCCGGGTACCGAG